CCTTATAAAATCTAAAGCCTCCCACAGCACAGTTGGAAGATAACTTTTATGTTTTTATTAGGAAGCAATATTAGAAATGATCTCTCAAAAAACAAAGGAATGAAACATTGCTGATCTGGTTTTTAGCATATTTTACAGGTCACTCCTGCTGTCTGGGCCAAGACCAACTAGGAAAGAGTTCTCCAGACAATGCCAACACCTTCACTGGTTCCTGAAACTTCACCATTTGTACCAATTCTCCTGGATCAAGGATAACTGCCAACTAAAATCTGCTTTTATCTGCTATTGTATCCCATTTATACACCTGAGCCTCACCTGGATAACCAGGGCACTTCTCTGTCTCATTCTTTCTGGCAGTTAATGACTCTTCCCATGGCTGGCCCCATTCATAGGGCCAATAATAACAATATATTTTTTCGCCACTGCTATCCCCATTCATAGGACCAATAGTTACAATATTTTTTTTTTCTCCTAGCCACCTTCCTTCATATCTCCCTCAAGAAACAGCTACTTGAGGTCTTCAGGATTACAGTAAACCAGATGCCTCTTCAGCCACACCTCTCACTTAGTGTTAGCCCACCAACTCCCAGCTCTCCCCTCTCCCATGTTACCCCATGCCCACAGGAAGCAGCCAGACTGGAGCCAGTGCCTCTTTATCCAAGGAGTCTAAAACTTTGGTTGAAGGGCTTTATCTCAGCTTGTTGGCACCCCCTTATCCAAAAATCCTGCACTGTTTGGTCAAAAGCACCACCCCAGTTCCCTAACACCCCTTTTTATACAAAAGTACAGATTGTTTGGCTGGGAGCTTCACCCCAGCTCCTGGCATAAGACCCCTCCCCAGGGAGGGTCAAAAAAGCCCACCAAATGGTAACCCCTGCCCTGGGAAATTCAAAACCACTCCCACAGGCTATTTAAACTGCCCCCAGGAGAATAAGCATGTGGTCTCCGGGTTCTGTATGGTCTCCCCTTTCTTTTCTTCTCCTCTTCATGCATTCCTGGGGCCACCCAGGAGCATTGCATTAAACATGGGCATCCTTTAATTTGGCTTAATTTGGTTTGATTGTAATTATTTGCATCAACAGAGAGGTTTGGCTTAATAGAAATATCTAACAACAACAACGATAACAACAACAACAATACAAATAATAATAAGAGGATGGTAAAAATAATAATAATGATTTAGTTAGGAGAGTATTTTGTTTAAGTGATAAAGGTGAATATTTTGTCATAAATTTTGTATTTGGTAAATAACAGTAGTGTTTTCCCAAAATCCAGTATCATTTCCCAAATTAAAAAAAAAAAAATAAAATGAAGGGACAGGGAAGAAGAAAAAAAGCAAGATAAAACAGCGAAATATAATAAAACATAGACATTTTCAAAAGGCAAGAAACACAATTTTGCCTCCTTCCTGAAGACTGAAGTAGAAAACCCATTATATTCTTTTCTATAATTTATTATCAGCTGAAAATGCAGATGATTTGGTCCTGGATGAGTTTAGTCTGGACTCCAAGCCTCCTGACACCTCCTTATATTGTTTTTCCATTACAGTGACTCTGTAAAGCAAAAGCCCCAGCTTCCCAGGCAACTTCTGTCAGTGAACACTACAAAGCTGTTGTTGTTTGATTTGTCTTTGCAGTGAAACTTGAAAAACAAGCCTGTTCTACAGGGACTTGGCGAGAATCACCAGAATGCTCTGACTTTTGTATGGCAATTCACTGTTCATTTCTCTGTGTGAGAACTATTTAAGTATTATATGCTGTAATAGAATAAATAATGTAACAACCTCTTAGCTAACTAAAGTCCTGTCTGCTTTCTTTGTTTCTAAAGAGACCCACTGTTACAGGCTCACAGGCATGAGGTTCAGCTCCCCTGTCCTCCCTGTCTGTGCTTGTCCCGGCAAGCAGCTCTCTGCTCCTGTAGTTCCTTTTGTATATGCATTAAATACATACCAATCTCTTTTTCCTGCAGGTGGTCTGTGGTACTGAGCATGCTAAGAAAAGCCTCTTCAGGTTCTGCAGCACTCATCTTGGATAGAAACTAAAATCGTCGAGAGGGAAGCAATGACCTTTTAGTTTCATGGGCGGGTCTGTCTCCACTCTGCCTATGCAATCACCACACTGTGCACACACTCCTCCTTTGCAATTGCCAGCCCTTTTCTCACACAAAAGACAATGTGAGAGGTGAGCCCCAGGTTGCTACAACTCTGAGTTTTGAGAACATCACTTAAAAAGGAAGCACCAGAGCCAGGTCAGAGGATTCTGTGTGCTAAGGATCCAGAGACTGGGAGACAGAGTGAAGAGAACTGGAAACACACTGTCCACAGTCGGTGAACACATTCCTCTCCTCTCCGGGAATAAAAGATGATTTATTCTGAAGCCAATTATGAGTGATTCAAACTGTCTCTTACACCAGGTTCTAACATGGAAATGTTTGATTAGTGGTGTCGAAACAGAAAGACACATCCTACTGCCACCCTCACCAGTCCAAAAAATGCCTGTAGATCAGTGGTTCTCAGCCTACTTACTGCTTTTAATACAGTTCCGCATGCTCTGTTACTCCACACCATTAAAATTATTTCATCGCTGCTGTAATTTACTATTGTTATAAATGAGAATGTCAATATTAATACACAGGATACCTGATATAATGACCCTTGTGAAATGATCATTCAACTTCCCCAAAAGAGGTCACAACCCACAGGTTGAGAATCATTGCTCTAGATTTCCAGGGACCATAGACTCAGGACAAACCAAGGTGCACAGCTTTGATGCCAAAAAGAACTTCAGAACTAGACAGTTTATGAAGCAGAGTTGGAGTCTAAGATTTATTTGTATTATATTGAATTATATGTTTATAAGAGGTTATACCAGTCTATGGGTCTGTTCCTGTGAGTGCAGGTGCCTGCAGAGGTCAGCAGAGGGCGTCAGATTGCTCCTTGAGGAGTTTGAATTTAGAATGCAGGTGCTTCAGAATTGTAGCAATGAAATATCATCAACCTCAATAAAAACAAACAGTGTTGTTTTTATAATTTAGGAACATATGCCAAAGAAAATTGTAAACATCTCAGAAAATTTACTTAAATAGTAGAATAAAATATTTGGGTGATGGGTACAATAGTGTGTGACTCTGATCTCAGAACTCCTGATCATAAAATCCTGCTGGAACAGGATGAGAATCCATGGCAGCCGTGGTGGCGCCATCTGAAGATTGACTTCTCATTTACTGATTATCTTTGTGTTTACTTTCTTTTAAGAGCTCTGACTTGAAGTGAAACTGTTAAGACAAGAGACCTTACTAAACCCCACGAACTTTCAACCCTCTCATAGCTGGAGGCCTCTCTATCCAACCCATTCTGAGCAAGAGATTATAGACCTTTTCCTGGAGCAGAGTATATAGCCTGGCCCAGCGATAAGGACAGAGTGAAGCCTGGCACAGCAATGAGGACAGAGTGAACTTTAGCCCAATGATAAAGACCTCCAGTCCTCCTATTATCCCAGGCCTGGAGCAGTTCTGGGAGTTAGGGAGCCCAGGAGTGGCATAAGTAGAGCCAGACTCCTGGTCTGGATTGGGGAGAGATATCCCTAGAAGCCCAGGTACTGTCCTGCAGTGAGGCTACTGTTTGTAGCAACGTAAGGGTAAAAAAAAAGTACATGTTTATTCTTCCAGACCCAAAGAAGGCACACTGCCAAGAGCAGACTGACTCAGAGTCATAACAGAGTCAATATTTATTCCTGTACTGGGCATGTAATACTGTAGTACATTGACCTTAGGGAAATTGATCCAGGAAGGACAGCAAATGCAAAAAGTCTCAATACTTTCCAGCTAATTTTCCTGTGATACTGGAAATACTCTGAAAATTTACTGTCTTTTGTTTTATTTTAGGCATGAAGGAAGACAGAGGGCTTTGTGTAACATTGTAATTGCTGGAACTGTAAGTCTCCAGGTATGTCAGAGGTTCTATTCTTGACCAGGAATTTTTCTTTAAAGGACCTTTACTACCACTATAATCATTTCAGAAGTAACTGCAGTCTGTCTGCACTGACTCTCAGGAGCCCTAGGAAAGCAGTGATGGGAAGAGCTACCTTTCTTCCCTGAAAAGCATGTTTTAGTGTGCAATAAATAATTATATTCACTAGGCATATCCACCCATTTGAAATATGGGCGAGTTACCCTTTGGCCATTAAAAGTTAGTTGACTTACTAGTGAAGGGGGGCACACCCATGCCACATCATATGTGAGATGTCATGTGGTCACAGGAGACAGTTCTCTCTGCTTCCTTGGGTTATACTTTCTGTCCTGCTTACAGATTTGGAAGAAAGCTGTCTATTCTTTATTTAATATATGCAAATGCAGTAGTGAGTGCTTCTTTATGATTTATTAGGAATTTTTCAACTTCTAAATACAAATTTCTTTTTCAGAACTAAGACTTGCTTAACTGGAAAGATGATGATTGAGCAGTTAGGAGAATTTGCCTGAATTCTGTTCCCGGAACCCAAACTGGGTAGCTCATAACTGCCTATAACACTAGTCCCGGAGGTTCTATTACCATGCACACATGCATATAAATATTTAAGAAAGAAAGGAGGAAGGAAGAAAGAAGAGGGAGGCGGGATGGTAGAAAATAAGGAAGAAAGGAGCTCCTTGAATATTTCTAGTTATTGTCCTCCCACCTTACTCCATTGCTGCCTAACTTGCTCCAAACTCCCCATTCAGCCAGAGTCCTAGAGTTTTGAGGGTGTAGGGTGTTGTTGGTTAATTTTATTTTGAGACTCCCTCAGGAGTTGAAATAGACCAGTTACTTCATCCACTCAAGGACTTTTTGGGCTCCTTGAGTTTCACTTCTCTGCAAAGCTTGTGGCAAAAGAGAAAAGAAAGTATAAAATAATGCCTTTCTTTTAAAAAAGTAAGAACTCTGGATTTCTAACCAGCTCTTAATACCCTTTCAAAGAAAGGAAGGGATGATTTAACATGGGTGCGACATTGATTTCTTGTTTTTTTTTTTTTTTTCCATTTTGAAATTTCAAAGGATAAGAGTCAGCAGTTAGGCTGCAAGGCCCTGCTTTGAATGGTCACTAGGATGGACCAGGCAGGTCCTGCCTATTTTCTGTAATTAGGGGAGAAAAAAGGAAAGAAAGAAAAAGAAAATGAAATCTTAAAGTACCTAGCACAGGTTGGCCCATCCTGGAACCATGTTCAATACTTCCTCAGAAGAAAGGCCTCATTGTCTTCGGTAGGTAAGGGTAGAGACATTCACTTCCTTCATTACTATATTTTGTTTTCTAAGACAAGTTCTCTTACTGAACTCGGAGCTCACAGATTAAGCTAAACAAACTGACGAACTTGTCCCAAGGATCTGCCAGTCTCTACCCTCCTGGAATTGCATTTACAGGCTCATGCCACCAGGTGCAAATTTCTTATGTCCCTTCTAAAGGATGGAATTCATGTGCTTACACTTACGTGGCAAGCACTTTAATGACTGCCAAGGTTCTGAATATGATCTTTAGGAAAAACATATAGAATATGTTTGTTGCCTTCAAAATGAAATAGCTATGCACAAAAGCTATTAGGAACTATTTCAAGGACTGGCCTTATTCTTCATTCCTGATTGTCAACTTAATGAAGGGATCATAAAATTTATGTGAAAAGTGAGATCTTTCTTATGTGACATGCTATGTGGTAATAGGGTTGTGGTGATAGAGCTCATTAAAGAACAAAAAGCCTATGGTAGGACACAGAGGTACCTATAATCCCCACTGGGAGGTAGAAGGCAGAAGATAAAGACTACTCCGGCTATGTAAGACACTTTGTTATCCCCTGCCCCCAACTGCAAAACAAAACAAAATAAGAAAAACCTCATTGGATTTTATTGATTTGTGTATAGTAACACACAGCTGTTGGGGACACAAAGATTCTTCTCACAGATAAGCACTAAAGGAACCCAGAATGTTAAACATGGAAGTAAAACCTATTTTCTGCCCAAAGTCTGGAAATGGATGTGACCAATAACCTGGTGACCTCTGTGTCTGTATGTCCAGGCCATACCTGGCTTCCCCAAACTCTTCCTCATGAGCCCCTCACCTTGAGCACTGATTCTCAGTCAAAGGGGCTCATCCTTATGGGAGATGTCACACGAACTTTACAAAGGGGAGAAGAGGTGGTTAATAACTTAGGGACCCTCTATGCTATCTGTAAGACCATGATGACACCAAATCATCCCCCACACCCTTAAGATGTCACATGCATTCAATATAGCATCCATCTTCACAGAAGTCACAGGTGTTATTCTTTCTGCAGGGTTGGATACGGGGTTGGAGAGAAAACACGAGACACACGGCGGTCCCACGTGGGTGAACTTTAATGGGGGAGATGACGACAGGTGAGGGACGGGGGTGACGAGACGAAAGGAAAAAAAGGGACGAGTTATGGTGTCCCCCCGTTTTTAAAGGGGGATCCAAGTGCGTCTGGGAGTGTAGTTCGGTGGGATGCTGGGAACTGTAGTCCAGCCGCCTTGTCTCCAAAAGGAACAGCAACAGGTACTTTACAGTACAATGTAGTGATGCCTTAAGCTTTATTGCACACATAGGATTAAGTTCATTGTCACCAGGAAATACAATTGTGCTGTATTTAAATATGTCTCAAACAATCTTCCTGGTTCTGCAGTTCAGATGTCTGAACGCACACCAGCTACTGAGAGGTGCTGAACTCGATCTTCTTGCCTCACATGGGTGGTTAGTGCTCACAGAGAACCCATACTTAGTTTCTCTAGTAACCATGACCACAGCAGTTACAATTTATTCATCTCTAGTTTTCCTTAAAGTATTCTTACTGGAGGCATAGTCCTCAAACAATGGACCCAGAGATGACAAAGTTGACCAAATATTAGAAGCAAATATTTACATTTTAAACGGAAAGCTGATATTTCTCTGACAACCAAACCAGAATCCATATCACTGAACAGAAAACAGCAGTAAATCAACAACAGACTTAATGTTGAATCAACACAGATACAGACTATGTGAGCCATG